GTACGCAGCATCCGCTCTAACCGTCACTACATCAACATCCGATTAATGCATTCAGATGAGTGCTGCGTCTCACCTACACCTGCAGCTCCTGCTTTGTTCACTGCATTCAGTCTGTGGATTCTAGAGGAAACAAACAGAGAATCAGGAAAATCAGGGAAGTTTTTCTGATTCTTACAGTCAGTGGAATAATCTAGATGGAAGACGTTTTGATCCCACAGATTGGGAAATCTGCACCACTTAAAGCAGGTTAGCATAAATTCAGGAGAGCGGCCGGTTTTAGACCAGCCAGAGACGGAGACCTACAGCTGCTGTGCAGAGACGGTGTGTTGCAGACATGGTAGCATAAGGCAAAAGCTTTGTCCAGAACTGGACCGCCTGTGAGTGATCCGGACCTCTAAGAGCCTCAATACTCATAATCGTTAAAATGAATTTCATGCCAACCAAAGCAGGCGAGAGACTGCTGTCGGCCTGCAGCTGAAGGAAACTCAGTAAACGGATCCGGAAGGACGGGAAGCCGGGAATCTGGACCGGAACGCCTGCAGGAGGGCGTGGCTCTGCTGATAATCAATCAATCTATCGAGTTTATTTGTATGGAACATTTCAGCATCAAAGCAGTTTAAAGGGTTTTACATAAATCTGGATTGATGAAAATCATTCATACGCATCAGATTATTGATTATGTTTCCATAGCAACTCTAACCAGCTGGTTTCAGTCTAGGTTAAAGGAGCTCAGGGTTTCTGCTGCGTTTCACTTTTCTGGAAGTTTGATCCAGATCTGTGGAGCATAGAAGCTGAAAGCTGCTTTTCTATGTTTGGTTCTGGTTCTGATGCAGAGCAGAACCAGAACCAGCAGGTCGATCCAGCAGCAGATCTTTAATACTTCAGCGATTTATAAACTACCGGGTGGCGCAGAACCGATGGTGCAGAACCCATGGTGCAGAACCGGGTGGTGCAGAACCGATGGTGCAGAACCGGGTGGTGCAGAACCGGGTGGTGCAGAACCGATGGTGCAGAACCGGGTGGTGCAGAACCGGGTGGTGCAGAACCGGGTGGTGCAGAACCGGATGGTGCAGAACCGATGGTGCAGAACCGGGCTGGTGTAGAACTCGTCTCGCCTTCACATGAAGTCTAATTAGAGAATAGTAACGGATCTTATTTCCTGGGTTAGGGTTATCCTACCCACTGGGATCATATGGATATTGAATGGAGCCTTGGGGAACCCCACATGTGACCTCTGACCTCTTCATGAGACAATTTCTATTGAAACAGAGAAATCCCAGTTCTTTATGTGGAACCAGACCCGGTGGGCTTTGGGGGGCATTGTGGCGTTTTCTCTGCCCACAGAGTCCGCCGTGGAGTGGAATCTGTTTCTTTCATTTTTACATCAGAGTGGCCATCTTTCTGTTGTTCCTAAATGTACCAAACTTGTATTGAGCTTTTCCAGTCATTTTGGCCACTCCAAGCACTTTACACTAGTCATATTCACCCAGGACTCACAATATCACGCACATTCATACACGGATACACAGATCGGTAGGCAATTTGGGGTAAAGTGCCTTGCCCAGAGGCATATCAACATGTGGCAAGAGGAAGCTGGAATCTAACCTACAATCCTCCGATCGCAAGACTACTACTCTACCATTCCTATCTTCATTTTCATACAATAAAGGCTCCCACACTTCCCATATCTGTGTTTTCTGAGCCGCCTTTAAACGCAACATGAGCGCGAAGGTGATCATGCCGGTTTTAGACCAGCCAGAGACGGAGACCTACAGCTGCTGTGCAGAGACGGTGTGTTGCAGTCATGGTAGCATAAGGCAAAAGCTTTGTACAGAGTTTTTCTAGCTAATTTTACCTACATGATGATTAGCTAATGTTAGCTACATGGTGACTAACTAATGTTAGCTACATGACAAGAAACTAATGTTACCTACATGAGTAGCTAATGTTAGCTACATGGTGACTAGCTAATGATACCTACATGAGTAGCTAATGATAGTTACAGTGTGGCTAGATAACATTAGCTACATGGTGAGAAGCTAATGTTAGCTACATGGTGACCAGCTAATGTTACCTACATGAGTAGCTGATGTTAGCTACATGGTGACTAGATAATGTTGGCTACATGATGAGTAGTTAATTATCTGCTGATTAGCTAATGTTAGCTACATGAGTAGCTAACATGAGTTGCTAATCATAGCGACATGGTGACTAGTTAATGTTAGCTAGCCGATGACTAGCTAATGTTAGCTAAATGATGGCATTGTTAATGTTTGGTACATGGTGACTAGCTAATGTTACCTATGTGCTGATTAGCTAATGTTAGTGACATGGTGAGTAGCTAATGTTAGCTACGTGGTAACATGCTAATGTTACCTACATGGTGACTAGCTAATGTTACCTACATGAGTAGCTAATGATATTTACAGTGTGGCTAGCTAACGTTAGCTACATGGTGAGTAGCTAATGTTAGCTACCTGATGAGAAGCTAATGTTAACTACATGAGACCAGTTAATGTTAGCTACATGATGAGTAGCTAATGTTATGTACATGAGTAGCTAATGAAAGCTACATGTGATGATCAAATATTAGCTATCTGATGATTAGTTAATGTTAGCTACCCGATGACTAGCTAATGTTAGCTAAATGATGACATTGTTAATGTTTGGTACATGGTGACTAGCCAATGTTACCTTTGTGTTGACTAGCTAATGTACCAAACATCCAGGAGAGGACGGCGCTGACCACAAATACGGCTCCAGGTTTTCCCTATTTGGGTTCAGAAATGTCTGAACATCTTGAAGTCGGTCCTGTAACATCAGCAGACTGGCTGCTAGAGGCAGATGGATCCAAATGCAGCAGCAGAGCAGTAAAAGAACCACATTAAGCAAATTTAAGCAGAACGACCCAACATTTTACACGTCACTGTTTATATCCTTATTGTTTATTTGGCATTAATAAAGAAGATTATTTAGTTTTAAATGTTACATAAATGTTTGGCTATGTATTCATCTTGAGCTAGAGGCTGGTTTACCCATTGGCCTCTGATGTCGAACTAGAACTGGGACCAGTCTAGAACTGGGACCAGTCTAGAACTGGAACCAGTCTAGAACTGGGACCAGTCTAGAACTGGGACCAGTCTAGAACTGGAACCAGTCTAGAACTGGGACCAGTCTAGAACTGGAACCAGTCTAGAACTGAGACCAGTCTAGAACTGGAACCAGTCTAGAACTGGGACCAGTCTTGAACTGGGACCAGTCTAGAACTGGGACCAGTCTAGAACTGGGACCAGTCTAGAACTGGAACCAGTCTAGAACTGGAACCAGTCTAGAACTGGAACCAGTCTAGAACTGGAACCAGTCTAGAACTGGGACCAGTCTAGAACTGGGACCAGTCTAGAACTGAGACCAGTCTAGAACTGGAACCAGTCTAGAACTGGGACCAGTCTAGAACTGAGACCAGTCTAGAACTGGAACCAGTCTAGAACTGGGACCAGTCTTGAACTGGGACCAGTCTAGAACTGGGACCAGTCTAGAACTGGGACCAGTCTAGAACTGGAACCAGTCTAGAACTGGGACCAGTCTAGAACTGGAACCAGTCTAGAACTGGGACCAGTCTAGAACTGGGACCAGTCTAGAACTGGGACCAGTCTAGAACTGGAACCAGTCTAGAACTGGGACCAGTCTAGAACTGGGACCAGTCTTGAACTGGGACCAGTCTAGAACTGGGACCAGTCTAGGACTGGAACCAGTCTAGAACTGGGACCAGTCTAGAACTGGAACCAGTCTAGAACTGGGACCAGTCTGGAACTGGAACCAGTCTGGAACTGGAACCAGTCTAGAACTGGGACCAGTCTGGAACTGGAACCAGTCTAGAACTGGGACCAGTCTAGAACTGGAACCAGTCTAGAACTGGGACCAGTCTGGAACTGGAACCAGTCTAGAACTGGGACCAGTCTAGAACTGGAACCAGTCTAGAACTGGGACCAGTCTAGAACTGGGACCAGTCTAGAACTGGGACCAGTCTAGAACTGGAACCAGTCTGGAACTGGAACCAGTCTAGAACTGGGACCAGTCTAGAACTGGAACCAGTCTAGAACTGGGACCAGTCTAAGACTGGGACCAGTCTGGAACTGGAACCAGTCTAGAACTGGGACCAGTCTAGAACTGGGACCAGTCTGGAACTGGAACCAGTCTAGAACTGGGACCAGTCTGGAACTGGGACCAGTCTAGAACTGGGACCAGTCTAGAACTGGGACCAGTCTAGAACTGGGACCAGTCTTGAACTGGGACCAGTCTAGAACTGGGACCAGTCTAGAACTGGGACCAGTCTAGAACTGGGACCAGTCTTGAACTGGGACCAGTCTAGAACTGGAACCAGTCTGGAACTGGAACCAGTCTAGAACTGGGACCAGTCTAGAACTGGAACCAGTCTAGAACTGGGACCAGTCTAGAACTGGGACCAGTCTAGGACTGGAACCAGTCTAGAACTGGGACCAGTCTAGGACTGGAACCAGTCTAGAACTGGGACCAGTCTGGAACTGGAACCAGTCTAGAACTGGAACCAGTCTAGAACTGGAACCAGTCTGGAACTGGAACCAGTCTGGAACTGGGACCAGTCTAGAACTGGGACCAGTCTAGAACTGGAACCAGTCTAGAACTGGGACCAGTCTAGAACTGGGACCAGTCTAGAACTGGAACCAGTTGAGTTCTGGACCGAAGAGTATGACCCAGTTCTCCAGTCAGATTGTTCAGTAACATGATCAACAGAGGTCCAACAGAACCAGAACCATCTCCATCTGTTTTTATATGGATGTCCTTGAAGCCTTTGACTAGGCCGTGTCAGTGCTTTGGTAACCATGGAAATCGGACTGACAGCGGCTGCTTAGCCGCTCAAACAGATTTTCCAGTGACGTTGCTACGAACGGGAGGTCAGAGGTCGGCCTGTAAATCAGCTGATGAGCCAGCAGGTTGTTATTCAGGTCAGATGGACGAAGGCT